GAAGCCTCATATCTCGAGAACCGCTCAAGATATCGGTTTCAAAACTCTTCTATCTTGAAGAGCATTCAATTCTGAATCGAAACCGTTAATTTAAGTATAAAATTTGACAAATATTCATTGAGCTGCTAGAAGTGATTTTGTGTATACATATGGCTTTTGGTTTAAAAAATGCTCTTGCCACATACACTTTGAAGCTTCCTATCTTGAAAACCATTTCCCAAATTTTGTACTAAAGATGATAATTCCGAATCAGATCGAATGCTCTTCAAGATAAAATAGGTTTGAAACCGATATCTCAAGCGGTTTTCAAGATATAACGCTTCAAATTGTATGTGGCAGGGGCATTTTTTAAACCAAAAGGCATACGAGTGTATATAGTCCGACAAATACCATTTTAAAGTCACGTGATTTTGGTGGCAAAAAACGTATGTCCATTGATTATGTCGTTGATATCACCTACAAAAAGTTACTGGTGGTTAATAACTATTGAATTTTAAGATATGTTCCCACTAGCATTTTACAAACGCGTTTCTGAAGTAATATTAACCAATCAGATGGGAATTTTAATACTTGCAATTGTTGCGAGACTCACTTTTGACGCATCTGCTGCCCGTTGTAATTCATTCTGAACTTGAATTATGTGCTCGTTTTCTATTTGCTTCTTTTCGAGATGGAAAAAGGTTAATATAGTCGAAATTATTAGCTGTGTTTGTTCGTTGTATCATTTTCGAAAATAACTTTGACAAACTAATTGATGACAGTGACGCATTCTATTTCAGGTAAGAATTTTATGAACAATAATTAGACACCAATTTTTTTGTCAATTCTGCTATCACCGCTGTTTGAGATGTATTCAACAAGGATAGAGAAAAATCACGTGACTTTAAAATGGTATTTGTTAGACTATACACAAAATCGCTCTTAGCTCAATGAATGTTTTTCGTATTTCATACTGAAATTAACAGTTTCGAATCAGAATTGAATGCTCTTTAAGATAGAACAAGTTTGAAACCGATATCTCAAGCGGTTTTGAAGATATGAGGCTTCAAAAGTGTATGTGCCAGGGGCATTTTTTAAACCAAAAGGCATACGTGTATATATACAAAATCTCTCTCAGTAGCTCAATTAATATTTCTCAAATTTTATACTAAAATTAACATTTTCGAATCAGAATTAAATGCTCTTCAAGATAGAACAGGTTGAAATCGATATCTTGAGCGGTTTTCGAGATGTGAGGCTTCAAATTGTATGTGGCAGGTAGGAGCATTTTCTAAACCAAAAGGCATACGCGTGTATTCACAAAATCATTCTTAGCTCAATGAATATTTCTCAAATTTCATACTAAAATAAACAGTTTCGAATCAGAATTGAATGCTCTTCAAAATAGAACAGGTTTTAATTTAAACCCATATCTTAAGCGGGTTTCGAGATATGAGGCTTCAAAGTGTATGTAGCAGGGGCATTTTTTAAACCAAAAGGCATACGTATGTATAACACAAAATCACTCTAAGACAATAGCGCATCCAAGAGGGGGGATTTGAGGTTAAAATACCCCCAGATTTATTACTGGAATTTTCTTTTTTTCACGATTTTGGTTAATACCTACAAACTTTCCATTTATATCATCATGCAAACCCCTCTCCCCCCAAACAAAAAACCTGGATGCGCCACTGCAGATGGAAATCTTACAGAAGACAACCGAGGATTAACTGATATTTTCAAAAAAGTCAGAGAACTCAATTCATAGATGAATCCTAGTCCTGTCGACGTAGTTGATGAAAACATCATGAATGATGGGTGTGAAGAATCTCCAAACATCACCTCAGAAGAGACAGATCTTGCCTTGTCTCAGATGAATGACAAAAACCTTAAAAATATGAAAGATGAACTGCATGAGATGATGGCAAAATTGAAAATGAGATCAGACCAAGAAGGACTTGGGCGACGATTGGAAAGCTAGGAACAGTTCTGAGGTAGCTGAAAATCCCTGTAATGATTTATGTTATGGAACTACTTCACTAGCAACAAAATCAGCCATTTTGAGCCATAGAGATAATGATGCTTTGACTCAGAGATCATAGCAGAAATGACGAAATCAGCCGAATAATAAAGCTGGACGTATCCTGTTAAACTGGAAATCACATAAAAGAAATGTCGCGATACCACAAAAGTACTGGTTGGATGGTGTGAAGGAAAAAGCAGATAGAAAGTGGTGAATAGAGAGAAAAAGTTGCTCTTGCCACATACACTTTGGAGCTTCCTATCATGGAAACCACTTAAGATATAGGTTTAAAACCTGTCTTGAAGAGCATTCAATTCTGATTCGAAACTGTAAGTTTTAGTATAAATTTGGAGAAATGTTCATTGAGCTAAGAGCGATTTTGTGTAAACACACATACAATTTCAAACCTGTTCTATCTTGAAGAGCATTCAATTATGATTCGGAACAGTTTATTTTAGTACAAAATTTGAGAAATTATCATTGAGCTTTGCTGGGTCCTCTGATATATTCATTTTTGGACGGGATTTTTTCCATTTCTATAATATACTTCCTTATATCTTGTCGAATCTTCCATATACCTCTGATTTGATTTGTGTAATGAGACTGGACTTCTCGTAATATAGGTAGTTTATTTTTCAATGACTGGGTACGATAAATCAAACCCACCAAATTTCCATCCTTTTCCGCCTCAAGAGCCGGCCAAATTTTGATTATTACCGGCGTTTGATGCGCTGAATAATTTTCCAAAGGGAATCAAGACCCGGTGATAGTCCAAATTTTGATTATTACCGGCTTGATTCGTTGGATAATTTTTCTAGAGGGAATCAAGAGCCAATAATTGTTCAAATTTTGATTATTACCGGGGTTTGATTCGCTGAATAATTTTCTAGAAGTGTTCAATTACAGAGTGACCCAACACTTTTATTAGCCTCATTCGTACACACATACAGAACTTCTTCGAGAAAATCCACTTAAAAGGCTTGATCTACCCTTATCAGCCAACCACTCGAAAAATCTCCTGGCCAATCATTGACCATTTATGTTTCATGAGGCGTATTTTTGTAAATAGGCGTAGGTAAAAGATTTTAGCAATTATAATCTGCTTAATACAGTCTTATCAATTTTTTTTATCAATTTTTCTTGTGTGTAGGCACTAGGCACGCCAATGAACTTACTATGTACAGGGTTGTCGTTATGTATAGAGAGAGTCTAATATTTCAAAACGCGCTTAAGAAAAATGTACAGTGATCCTACCAAGGGGTTTTTGGGAATGCCCGATTCAATATGGTGGTATTAGCAATGTTGCCAAGATTCTAACATGCCGTATGTAACTTATGGTATTTCCGGTTGGTAAAATCATAACAAAAACGGAAATAGGTATACTGAGTGACATTAGATCTACCAATCAGAAACTATGGGATAACTACCTAGTACAGTTGAAAAATGTTTATCCAAGTTTTTTTAACCTGGTATACCTATAAACACAGGTTTTTTGAAGGTTGGCATTACTTATGCGACGTTGCCAGCTCATTTTTGTCGATTTTTTGCTCATAACGGACCTGTGTATTGGGAATTCGAGTATATGCTTGTTTCTTTTCGCAAGCGAAAAAGTGTGAAGGAGTCGACGTTGTCAAAATGATTTGACAGTAACTTCACATAGGGGAGCGCTCATGTTCTAGAAATTCCAGAACATCTCAATTATCATCACTGAAATCTAGGGCCTCCCTTTTCACAATATCAAAATTTAAGCCAAAACCACCATTTTTCAAAAAAATGCAGATAAAAAATAGAGGAAATTTTGAGGTTAACCCAGGGTCAAATAGGCTAATTTGCTGCGAGAGCGCGGGTTAACTTTTTCCTGGAATATGCCACGTTAAATCACATTTGAAAAATATTGAAAAATACTTCTGAGTATCAGATCGATTTCAAAGTTTCAGGATTTATTAACCAGGATGTTTTCATCAAGCAAGGCAAATTTGAAGTCAATCTGAAGTTTAGAAATAAAATTATGAGGTTTTTTCCATCTTGATACCAGAAAAAGTTGGAAAATTCACGTTAAATCACCTTTGAAAAATCCTGAAAAATACTTCAGAGTATCACATCGTTTTCAAACTTTCAGGATTTATCAACCAGGATGTTTTCATCAAAAAAGGCAAATTTGGAGTCAATCTGAAGTTTAGAAATGAAATTTCGAGGTTTTTTCCATCTTGATACCAGAAAAAGTTAGAGATTTCACATCAAATCACCTTTGAAAAATACTTCGGAGTAACAGAACGATTTCAATTTTTCAGGACTCATTAACCAGGATATTTTTATCAAACAAGACAAATTTGAAGTCAATCTGAGGTTTAGAAATAAAATTATGAGGTTTTTTTCTAACTTAATTCCAGAATAAGTTGAAAAATTCATGTTATGTCACCTTTGAAAAATCCTGAAAAATACTTCGGAGTATCAGATCGATTTCAAACTTTCAGGATTTATTATCCAAGATATTTTTATCAGAAATACTTCGGAGTATCAGATCCATTTCAAACTTTCAGGATCTATTAATCAGGACGTCTTCATCAAACAAGGCCAATTTGAAGTCAATCTGAAGTTTAGAAATAAAATTATGCGATTTTTTTCAACTTAATACCAGAAAAAGTTGGAAAATTCACGTTAAGTCACCTTTAAAAAATCCTGAAAAATACGGAGTATCAGATTGATTTCAAACTTTCAGGATTTGTTAACCAGGATGTTTTCATCAAAGAACGCAAATTTGAAGTGAGTCTGAAGTTTACAAATAAAATTATTAGGTTTTTTCCAACCTATTACCTGAAAAAATTGGAAAATTCACGTTAAATCACCCTTAAAAAATACTTCGGAGTATCAGATCGTTTTCAGACTTTCAGGATTTATCAACTAGGATGTTTTCATCAAACAGGGCAAATTTTAAGTCAACCTGAAGGCCAATCAGGCATTCTCAAACACACCAGAAAATATTGTACATTTCTCTTTAGGCGCTTTCTGAAATATTAGGCCGTTTCCATACATAACGACAACCCTGTATAATAAATGCATACTGACACATTTATGTTGACCCAATGACAAAACATAATTTTAAAAAATTACTGAATCCTTCTTCCATTCATCGCATTAGAAAATTCATTATTTTCTATCATAAGTTTAATGCATCACATAAAAGAACAACTTTCCAAAACAAGCCAAATGACGAATATATTTAACTACATTGATTTTTCACAGCTCTTAAACCATGCAGTTCAACGTTCAACTGAAAACGAAAACAAAAATAAAAAAAAAATAAATAGAAAAAAACTCAAAATTTATTCATCGAAAATTAACAAACAAAAAAAAATCAGAAATCAAATTACTTAAAAAAATAATAATACAAAAGTAACAAAACATTTTAAATAATAATGATAGTAAGTAAAAAAAGCCTCTTTTTTACAAGCTGCGCGTCGATGTACAAAAATAAATACAAAAAAAGAAAATAAGTTAAACTTAAAAACCAACTATAAACAAGAATGAGAGAGCAAAGAATGAGAGGTTTGAAACCCTAATAGCTTAACAACTAGACAATAAATTAAAACTTAATTATTTTGAAACAGTGGCACAAACAAATTTTGTTCTTTTTTTTCTTTCATATAGGAACAAGTATATTTACAAAGTGGCACTAAATATTTATATAAAAAAAAAATTGAAAAGAGATTCCTTAAAAATAATAATATTAATTAACATTAACAAAACGAATTTCGACTGTATTGTCACAATAATTTAATATCAAAAATAAGAACAAACAATTTCACCTTTTTAAAGTTAAAACATTTCTTTTTTTCTATATCACAGAGTATATCTAACAATGATATTACGTATACAGGGGAAATACAAGGCGTTTTTTTTTTTTCTGACACCCTGCGTAATTCTAAAAGTTACCCTGTACCTAACCTTAATTGATTTTGAGCAATAACTAAATATTCACTTCGTGCAATTTATACCAGCCCCTAGAGGCCTATACAAACTGTATTAAGCAAACAAAATACGTATACTAATTTGGCACAATTATAAAAAAATAATCGAGATTGTCTTTTTTGTCTTTCAACTGGCCTCATCATCACCATGTAACATGGAATGCTTCGAGATCCGATTTTGTTCCAAAAATATTTCACATAGATACAAAACCAATGAAGGAAAAGTATTTTAGAAATCCGGCAAGGCAGATTCCATATTCTTAAACTTATTGTGTTGCAAGTATATTCTAAAGAGAACATGAGCATATTTTTCCATGTTACAGTTTCAGGTTAATTATAGTGAAGAAAAATGGAAAATAGAAGCTGAGTGTGAAGTAAGAGATCAACGAGTGTACAGAAAAGAAGATTGTGAAGAAATGTTGTGTCCTTGAACAACATATTTAGAATCAGACATTATTGAAGTTACTCTTAGTCGATCACCCATTATTGTTGACTTTGCTCCTCTATGTGAATTATTTTTGGAATTACATTTTATTATAGTTTATTAGCCACCTATAAGTGAATCATCAAACTTGGACAAATTACCCACAAAATAAAACCCACCCCAAGATCATCATAATCACCATCAAATATCATTGATTACTCTCAGTCTTGATAATACTTTGCGGCGCTACATTCAAATCGGGCTCGTACCTGGTATGAGTCCTCATATGCCTCGTTATCATGTCTCGCCTACAAGCTGCATAGGGACACTGCGGACACTTGTAAGGCTTCTCACCAGTATGAGTCCTTTGATGGGTCGACAAGTGATCCGATCTGGAAAATACTTGTCCACAAACCCTACAAGTATACGGTTTGACGCCAGTGTGTAGCCGCATGTGTCTCGTTAGCATGTCGCTTCTTGCAAAGGATCTTTTGCATACGTCGCACAAATACGCTTTGGCTGGCGAGTCTGGATTAGTTTGCCTACTTTTATGCCTTGACGCCATATGTTTGGCTAAGCGATCGTGTAGAGAGAACATCTGTCCGCAAACTGGACAAACAAAGGCTACGTCTGAGCCGGGAGGCATTTCTTCTACAACCGGAGATACTTCTAAGTTGTAACGCGAAGCTACAGATTCTTTTGTAGTCGGTGAAGCTACGTCTCCTTTAACCACTGGTACTGATACTGAACCTCTTGGAGGCAAAAAACCCGGAGGTAGTAACTGTAGAGGAGGAGGTTGCACTGTAAGACATTCTAAAGAGCTAGTAGAAGCAGTAATTTTCTCTCTTGCCTTAATACTTTTCATGGACAAATCCAAAGGAAACTCTTGTGGAGAAATTTCATTTTCTGAACCTTTGGCAGAAGGTAGAGTTAATGGATGAGGCCACTGAATCGCTGTACCTTTTTCACTTTTCCCACTTTCAAACCACAAAGGCAACTCGGAATCTGAATGGCTACGTCTCCGAAATATATCGGGTAAATATTTTGAGTGTAGATAGCGTTCGAAACTATAACTAGGAGCTGGTGATGCTGGTGTTAAAGGACTTATAGGTGATGCAGGAAAAAATCGGTCGTAAGGATGTAGAGGAGGAGGATGATGTCCAGCTCCAGTGACGCATTGGTAGCAAGGACAAACAGGCGGACGATGAAATGATGGCGGAGATGGACTCGTGTCATCCTCTTTGATTCTTAACGGACTAAAGCTGATTCTTGGCGATTCAGTTGAGCTATGCGGCGATTTGTTGCTAGAACTAGCAGGACTAAACACGTCATCCTCTTCATGGCTTGCTGGTTTGTTTAACTTCTCTCTTTCTAAACTATCAAATCTGAATACCTCTCCTATATAATGTTTCCTCTTACTATCGCCTTCGTTATTGTTGTATAAATTGTTGTTCATAGTTTGAGGTTTGCTAAATTTGCCGTCTTCGTCTTCATCGTTCGTTGCACTTGCACCTCCAGTTAGCTTATCCAAAACTTGACTCAACCGTTTTCGCTTGCGCTGTTTTACTTGCGGCCTGTGGTTGTGGTTAACCATCGTGGGCAGGTTGTTGTTGGTTTTATCTTGGACGGGGGCGACGTGAGCCTCAAGGGAACTTTCTGCCATCGTCATGGCGGGCAGCAGGTGTTCGTACGGCTTCCACGCCTTCTTCGGGGATTCGGCTGCAGGGTGCAGTGTGACGGCGGTAGTACTTCCGACGACGAACGGTTGCGTTGGTGGCTGATGCGTGATTTTGTCGGTAGCAGCGATCTGGAACAAGGAATAATTAAAATTACTAATGGAGTTGGAAACAAATAATTTTGATTTGAAAAATTGCCACGCAAAATATAAAAAGGGAAAGAGTAGAAGCTTTATGTACCTAGAAAGTTTCTGGATAATTAAAATTCTCCTTGAGATAGCAAAAGCGCTGAGCCACTGATGGTATTTTAGTGGAAACAATCGTCTGCTGAAGCCAGACCGTCGAACTTTACTTTTTCCACCTACTTACAATTCAACTTTATTTCTTTAGTTAATACTCAAGTACTCTAATTTCTGATGTAGGTATGTAGGTACTATACAGGGTGTATATTTTAAGTGATACCACTATTGCTATATCCGAAACGGTAAGATCTACAAGGTCGGTTAAATTAGAAAAAAGTTGCCTTTTTGGATGCCCATTCAAGACTCTTTTACATTGTTGCCAAATTTCTTTTAGTTTATGAAATACAGAGTGATTCCTAAGAAACGCGCAAAAATATTTCATGGATTATCTCGAAAACTATTCATTTCCGAGACCCAATTTAAATTTGAAAATTTTATAATTTTTTTCGCCCTACAACATGGCATCTTCAAATTTCAAATCCGACGTTTCGTCATTGAGCTACCATCATCAACTCCATTTTTTCAAATACGGACCTGGATTTTTTATGTCCTTTTTGGAAAGGGAATGAAGGACGCTTTCTAAAAATGACATAAAAAATTCAGGTCCGTATTTAGAAAAATGAAGTTGCTGATGGTAGCTCGATCACCAAACGTCGGATTTGAAATTTGAAGTTGCCATGTTGTAGGGCGAAAAAAATTATAAAACTCTCAAATTTAAATTGTTTTTCGAAAATCAATAGGTTTCGAAATAATTGATGAAATATTTTTGGGCGTTTCTTAGTAATCACCCTGTATCTCATAAAGTGAAAGGAATTTGGCAACACTGTAAACGAGTCTTAAATGAACATCAAAAAAGGCTGTCACGAAACGCGTTACGCAGCAACACCACTCCTCCTTCGGAGTCGTGGTGTTGCTGCGTAACGCGTTTCGTGACAGGTAAAAGTATTATTAGGTAATCCTGAAACCTCTTGCGGTATTACATTCGAAAATTCCATTGATGTTCTCATCTGCTGTTTATTGCAAAATTGAAGTCTCTACAAATGAGTACAGAGGACTTTCAATGGAAATTCGCTGCAGAAGTCAATTACCTATCTTGGCTATCTTGAGGATGATTTAAAACTTATTTCTAAGTTTTTAGTATAAATTAGAATGCCATCATAATAATTAAATTTAGCTTCATTATATAATAAATTATATCCAGGAATATTATATTGGTTTTTGTTATCAATTTGATGACATCGGTTTATTCATCTTCAGATAAACTTGCTGGTAACTATCTGCAAGATAAATTTACCGTTTTTAAATTCCATTGATTAGCGGATAGCTGGCTGACCAATATTGAGATTACAGATTGTGTTTTTATCTATCAGATTGCATGCCTAACAGTTTATCAGAAGGTGAATAAGCCGGCCCTCAGTGAGAATTGTTATTCTGCAAGAAATTTCATTGTAAGTTTGAAGAAAAAAAAACGTGTGCATCCGTAATGACGACACAAGGGTCTCAACGCTTGACAATAACAGACAATCCTCTTTGCTTATAATCCTTGGTTTGTGTCAATAGATTGTCGGCTGTCATTGTCATTGGCTGTCTTTCTCCGTGTCTCTCTACGTTATATCTTTCTTCTCTCTCATGTAACGAAATTTGCCAAAACGTGACGCGTCTTCCAAATCACTCTCCATTCTCGTTCAAATAGGTATCAGACCGCCGCTTAAGAAGTTTCACTCCAATAATAAAAAACAAAGAATGAAAGAAAGAAGAAAAATTAGCAAAAAAATTCCAAAGTGGAATTTTTTGGAATTCCTTGGCATTTTTTGGCATTTTTTGAAATCTTACATATACGTAAGTTTGGGTTAGTCAAATGAAAGTTGTAAAGAAAAGTATAAGATATAAGGAATGAAAAATTGACAATTTATTCGAAGGTGTTAAATTTACCTCAAACCTTTTTTTTAGTTTCTTGAACTTTTTTATTTTTGTTCCTGGTTCCTGAATTTTCCTAATTTTACTATGCCAGGCCCTTGAGTTTTCTGTACATTTTCAAGAGCCGGTACCTACCTGATAATGAAAATTTTGACAATCAAGAGTCAGTAATACATATTTAAAATTTTGATCATAATACCGACTCAGAATCTTCTCTAAAAAGAACCAGGGAAATTGCAAAGTATGACTCAGAATTCATAATCTGAAAATGCTAAAGTTTTCTTATAAAGGCTCCATAGGACCAACCAACAACCATCAAGAAACTTTGAAGTTATCTTACTGATAAAAACGTAATACAACGACCCTTTTTTAAGAGTTGCCAACCTTAAGATATACTTTAAAGAAAAGTAACATTGAAAATTGTTAAATCTTGAATTAGAAAATTGAAGATCAGAATTGCTGATTTCAAATATTATGATGTTTATAAACTCTAAGAGAGAAATTGAAATTTTCAATACAAAATAGCGATAGCTTTCTTTGGCCCTTATCATTGGTCATTAATTTTTCCAGTGCCAGTGCCAGTATAATGATCAAAAATTGAACTATTACCGGCTCTTGATCGCCTCTATGTACACTGAGTCAAGAGAGCCAATTATCATAATCAAAAATTGAAGAATTAATTACCAAAATCGGAGCCAATCAATTTAATCAAAACTTACTACTACGACTGCCCCTAGAAAATTAATCAAGAATCAAGAGTTGGAACTTTTTCAAAATTTTGACCATTACCGGCTCTTGATTCATTGGAAAAATCTTTCTACAATAGTAATCAAAATTTGAACTATTATCGTCTCTGATAAATACCTAAGTCCATTTGAGTCAAAAGTCAATTTCAGTCAAAAATTGGCTCTTGATTGCCTTTAAATAAGTTGTCAAATAGATCAAGAGCTGGTAATAATTGAAATTTTAATTGTAACAGGATTTTGATCGCCCCTAGACAAATTTTTCATTGAGTCAATCAAGTACCAGTAATATTCAAAATTTTAATCATAAGTACTTATATCGTCTCTTGATTCGTCGTCACGCCAATAATGATCAAAATTTAAACTAATACCTGCTCTTGATCGCCTCTATATAGATTAATTATTGTCCACTGAGTCAATAAGCAATTATAATAAGAAGATTGAACAATTAGGTAATTACCTACCAAAAAGAGACAATCAGAACCAATCATTATAATCAAAACTTGGACTATTGAACTGTTGATTGTCTCATGAAAATTAATCAAGAGCTGGGAATATTTAAAATTTTGATCATCACCGGCTCTTGATTCGTTGGAAAATCTTTCTACAGTAATAATCAAAATTTGATCTATTACAGGCTCTTGATAAATGGTTCAATTGAGTCAAAAATCCATTTTAGTCAAAAATTGGCTCTTGATTGCCTCTAAATAAATTCTCAAGTGAATCAAGAGCTGGTATAATAATTAAAATTTTGATCATTATACCAACGTAGAATCTTATCTAAAAAGAACCAGAAAAATTACAAAGTTATGACTCAGAATTTATAATCTAAAGATTCTAAAGTCTTCTAATAAAGAATCCTGGGATTTTTCAAAGTTTGGAGAAATCAGAATCTAAAGAGCTGTTATTTTCTCAACCATCAGGAAACTTCAAGTTATCTTACTAATAAAAACGTAATACAACGACCTTTTTTTAAGAGTTAGAGTGCTCGAAACAGATACAGTGCTCGTGCTCGTACCTACCACTAATTCCAGAAAAAAATACATTTTTTGTGAATCATATATACGGAACAGTTAGAGTGCTCGACAGTGTTGCCAGAGAGTAAAAATTTTTTGTACCAAAATTCAAGTCAAATTGTACCAGATTCAGTAAAAATGTAGCAGCCTACAATGCGCATGCGTTCTCTGAGAATGAGGATTACTTTTGATCAGAGCTGGACAGGGCTTGAGTGCTTTGTGTTTGTGAAAGTGCTTGAAGCACTTTGAGAACTTGAAAGCCCTGTGCTTCAAGCCCTTTTATAGATTTGTAATTGGAGCTTGCAAAGTCAATTACTTTAGAAAAGGGCTTGGTAATTTGTAATTGAAAAAAGTAATTCAAGCCCTTTCAATGAGCACTTTTGGGAGCTTGAAGCACTTTGAAAGGGCTTGAAGCACTTTAAAAGGGCTTGAAGCACTTTAAAAGGGCTTGAAGCACTTTGAAAGGAATTTGAATTGACCATCATTCATCCTATCCCCCACTTAAACATTTTCGATTGATGTGTTTTGTCGCTTAATTTTTTTTTTCTATTATTTAAACTTGAACCGTCTTATGTCTTTTCTCTCTTAACAATGGAGGTTTTGGGTTTGAGCTTAGAATTGAATTAAAAAAAAAAATGAATGCACTTATTATTCAAATAAATAATTAATTTATATTGGTACCCTATTTAACTTTATCACTGAATTTTTTTCACTTTTCCTCATTGAACATTTTGAAAACCTTGAAATTTAATAACCATGTAGTACCCCAACTACCCCAACTACCCCAAGTACCCCAGAACTACATCTCAAAAAAAAAATATAGGTACTACTGCTACTCTGTGAAATGTAAAGTTCATCTCTACTATATCTATTCAACTGATGAGTGTACGCGGTAGCTTATGCCACTTTGAGAATTTGCTTTAGGAACATTTAAAGAGCTTCAAGCACATTTAAAGAGCTTCAAGCAAATTTAAAGAGCTTCAAGCACATTAAAAGAACTTCAAGCACATTTAAGGGGCTTCAAAGCACTTTTTAAGGCTCCCCAAGCACTTTCGATGTGCTTCAAACACTTTTCAAATCACTTTGAGGGCTTTGTGCTTGCCAAGCCCAAAGCACTTTGAGGGCTTTGTGTTTGTGAAGCACTTCTGGAAATAAAAAGGAATTTGTGCTTGAAATTGAAAGCACTTTGATAAAGGGCTTAGGGCTTAGTGCTTCAAGCCCTTTTACTGAGGGCTTTGCCCAGCTCTGTTTTTGATCCAGTAGGATAACAGCACGTTTTGTTTTGATTTGTTGAAAAGTGGAAACCTAAACTAAACACGTCAATTAAGAACCGCAAAACGAGTGTCACATCGGTGGCGCCCTCCATTTACAAATCAGAAATTATTGTTATATCGAATTTAGATAGAAAAATACAAATTAATTAGAACGTCGACATTAGACTAAGTAGGCAGTAGGCTAAGACTCTTTGAGAATTTGAAAAAAATAACAACGTCGTACCAGCGTACTTTTTCAAAGCGAATGGTACTAAATCTGGTACAATTGTACCACCTCTGGCAACACTGGTGCTCGTGCTTGTACCACTAATTCCAAAAAATTCGAAAAAATTCCAAAATGAAATGTTTTGGAATTTCTTGGCATTTTTAGAATTATTTGGAATTCCTTGGCATTTTTTGGAAATTTTTGGATTATTTTGGAATTTTTTGGTATTTTTTGGAATCTTACATAAGGAACAGTTAGAGTCTCAAAATAGATGCAGTGCTCGTGCTATTCCAGAAAATTCCATGATGGACATTATTGAGAATTTTTGTGAAATTTTTTGGAATTAGTCGTACGAGCACTCTTTCTATTCCGCGCACTCTAACTGATTCGAGCACCGTATCTGTTCTGAGCAATCTAACTGTTCCGAGCGCTCTAGAGTGTTCCATTTGTCATCTGTGTCCATGTTGTGCATGAGGGATAAAATCGTAATTGAAGGTTAAAAAAAATCATTGGTTTTGTTAATTTTGTTTCCATTATTTCATAATTATCTTTTTGCTTCAGCTCATTTGCACTTATAGTTCCTGGGATAAAATCGTGTTAAGCAAATTGGGGTGATTAATCAATTTTTCTGAGTGCCTTTTTTCATAGATTTCGGGAACTTTGAGATTGTTTTGTAGTTTTCGCGACTATAAAGTGTGAAATATCTACAAGAAATATTCTAATCAATGACTTTTAAAGTGATAAAGTAGTGGCAGAAAAGTTGCCAATCCTTCAAACTCATATTACGTATTGTAGTGAATACTAGTTTGAAGTAATTACTGAAAAACGCGCCATATTTACTGAAAAAATGTAGGGTGAGACGCAGCAGACCCAGAAGAAGCTGGAGATAAGGAGTAGATGAAAAAATGAGAGACAGAGGCCTGAAGAAGAATTACCGATATCTAGGTTGAACTGAAGACAATATTTGTATATTTTCCTTACTAGTTAGGTACCTATCCAATAAACAATAAAAATAAAAAATTAAAAAAATCATTCTTTATTTAAAAAATGATTTGTTTTGTTCGATTATTAAATTTTAACAAATTAATCAGTGGGTATGTCACGATCAGCGTTTTCTGACTGAAAATAATCAATGATTTACAATAGTCTAAACTCTGCAAAGGTTGAAAATCAAATAGCAACGCAATATTCTTCGACAACCGAGAAAACCTCTCTAACGCCCACGCACCTGTTTTACGGATCCACGAATACGTGCCTCGAGTACCTGTCGATCGGTCGCGGCGGCGGTACCTGTTCGATCCACTCACTCCACCTGACAATTGACCCCGTTCCGATTGCGAGTATATGAATGGACGAACCGACCCGGAGCGCGTCCACCAACCGACGACACGTGGTCGAAGACCTCGCCGAAGAAGAAATTCGAAACGATGTTGTCGGATTTTTGACTTTTCCAATGAAAGAACTCGAATAAGTGGTTATTTTTAGTCCCGGCAACGTTGCTTTTTTCACCGCGTTAAACAGCCCAACGTGTGGTGCAATGCGGGGGTGGTTTATAGAGGCACAGGTCAGTGTCGGACAAAAGAGGGATGAAACAATGCAGGGCTTTGTTAAAAGAATGTTTTGTTTGTATAGAGGGATTCTTCTATACGTGGCGCCTCGATAATCTTTTTAGTTTACCAGCTGGCAGATGAATTTGTTTAGGGATTTGTATAAACCAGTGTGCTTCTTGTTAGGGCATCAGAGCAACCACTATTTACTTTACACTTTGAGATTGATTACAATAAGTCTTCATATGAAACACTTATAAAGTAGACAAAACTCATGAAAATTAAAATTTGTACGCTCCTGGAAACATCATATTATCAAAGTGGTGCAGAAAGACTGCAAGAAGGTTTCCAATGCCTTTTCCGGATTATTTAATACTAATGTTGCGGATTTCGGCAACTTTTGGCACGCGAACAAAACTGCTACGTTCTTCAATTCCTTCAAACTAATTTCGACTATAGACTCTTATTAAAAATTCTACTATTAAATTATTATGCACGCGCCTGATAGTAGTACCATAATTTATCGTCCCGAGGCAATACCCACTAAATAAAACCATGAAATAATTACCGGTGGTAGATAATTTATAATTAATTTTATTAATAAAATTCCTCGTTGGCCGATTTAATTGGGTTCGCGGCTCTATCTCAAGCGGATCTCGTTTGGTACTGGTTTTGTTGCTCGGTACTCATAGATGGATATTTGGCAACCTTCGAGCAAGTTTTATGAATCATCTTAACGAGTTCTGGTTGATTTCAGATGAATTATGGGCCAATTACTCAACAACGACGGTGACACCGAAATAACATAATTTTCTAAATAAATGAAGTGTAGACGCTCTGAATACCTGAAACTGTTTTTCAACAGCAGCAGGTTTCTAGTCCACCGGCCAAATTATTCATAAATACATATAATAATAATAATTATTATTCGATATATTTAATGTATCGATTTCATATCGCGGGAATTTAATGAAACTGAATGTATCCTTTAAGGCGCGGTTCTTGCTAAACTGGATCGTTCACTTTGTCAAGTGCAAACGTAATGCGGGCCCCGGTGGAGGATTTTTTTGCCGATTTGCACGATATAAACTGTCACAAATCAAGGGGCCGTAAATCAAAATGGTAGGCAATACGGAATTATCAGGTTATTATAGTTTGGATATAATCTGGATCAATAGAAAATAGACTTGCAACCGTAGGTATCACTTAAATTGAATGAACCAAAACAAACAAAAAAATTGTAAAGTAGAAAATGTACTTTCCTTGTCAGTTTAGAAATGGAAGTCACCTCTCAAATTATAATAGGAACTATTATTTGATGAATACTTTCTATGTACTTCGTCCTTCCTTCCTGGAACTTCTCTTTCTCCGATTTTCCACAGGTTCTCTCAATTTATCTCCACTTCCTTATTAGAAGGAGGTAAAAACTTCCCATATAGGTGGTTTCTTTTTAAAGCAAATGGTCACTGTTGTTCATGGAACAGATTTGCTTTTGTACTATATAGTATACATCTAAGAAATCTGAGTGTTGTGTTTTGTGTATTCAATAATTCAGACTTGGATCTCAATGTATGTACCTACCTATGTTTTCTTCTGGGTTCTTGTGATAAATTATTTTCATCGAATCATGAATGACAGACTCCAACGTTTTCTCTGGTTTTTGTTCACTAGGTACTTCTCACTTTAATTGAAGATCTGGCATGCTTACTTTTGGGTTATTTTGATGTTTACATTTGATTTACCTATCAGAACTGAACGACAACAGTTTTTCTAGTTGCAGTTTATATCCTTTTGGGTTGTTCTAACACAATTTTTTTTTTCAGCTCTGTCTACCTTACTTGTTGTCTCAGCTATGTTCCCTTTCAAGTTTTCCCTAGCTGGTACCTGCTATATAGTGCGTTAAGTTATGTATGCATTCTTTTTTTGTTCAAAACATTATTGATTTTATAGATTTAATCAAAGTTCAACACAATGCAAAAAATTAGAATTGATAATGGTGGGGAATTTATGTCTAATGTTTTTAAAGGATTTTTGTAGGAACAAAGAAAATGAGCTGCAGTACACAATGCCATATAGCCCACAAGAAAAAAAATCTCAGAAAGAATGAACAGAACCTTGGTAGAAGAAGAAGGAGAACCAAATTTCCAGAAACAAATAATGTGGGGAGAGACTATTCTATGTTAAGCATATGAGCACCAACTCAAGCAAATGGGGAAACGCTAGCGACAAGATGGTATGAGACAACTGATTTGTCAAAAATTGAAGTTTATAGGAGTCAAGCTTGGGCAGTGATATTACCAAGCAAGAGTAAATTCGAGAGAAGAGGTCAACATTGTATTATAGTGGGATATACAGGAGCTGGAAATATTGAAACAAACAAAATTTCCTGTTCAAGAAATGAAAGTTTTAATGGAAAATCAACAAACTATGACATGATTGTAAAGAATGAAATAAGAGAATATGAAAATCATAAAAAAATAATACAATTACAAATGTGAAAATTATTTACAAGATGGAATTGATGACATAGAAGTGGAAATTTACAAGAAAATACTGATTCAAGTCAAAGTATTGACGAAACAGAAAGTCCTTTTGAAGTTCTTTTCATCCGAGTGTTTTAATATGTGTCTCTTCAAATTGCCTTTTTGTTTAAATGTTGCTTTGCAAGTGTCACATGCAAAAGGAAAAATACCAGAGTGTGTTAACATGTGATGCTTTAAATTCCATTTCGATTTAAATTTTGCTTGGCAAGTGCCACAGTCAAAAGGATAAATATCCGAATGTGTTGATTTGTGACTGTTCAAATCCGATTTTCTTATAAATTTTGCTTTGCAGGTGTCACATTCAAAAGGAAGAATATCCAAGTGTGATTCTTTAAAGGAACTGTCTAGAGTACCGAACGCGGGATCGCTCGAAAAACGGAAAATCCCGAAAAAGCGTGGCTTATTAACTGCGTTCGGGACTTTCCAAAAATAATTCCAATCCCGACTTCGGGACCATGGTAACAAATGTAAACTCCCGAATTTGTGATAATTGTTTATGTATTATTTGTTTATCCTATACACCTAAGTTAGATTAGCCAACTGCTGTGTGTTTTGGGCAGTTTTGGCTGAAAATTTGTATCCTTTATTATAGGGTGCAATTTTGGAAACGGGATGCAAAAACTATCACATCTGCGAAGCATCATGCCCCTAATTTATACAAGACAATTATAAAGATAAGCCTAATATAAGATATCAAATAATCCCTAATCATGAAAAAGTTGTTGTTGATAGGTATCCCTATCGAGACTTTATGAGATTCAGGACTATGATGAACAAGAGCAGCAGTTTGAAAATTCTGAAATAATCCCTAATCATGAACTAGTTGTCGTTGATACCCCTATCGAAACTTATGAGATCCACATGGACTATGATGAACAAGAGAGGGCCCGGATTCCGAACCCACGATTCGTATCGTATCGTACCGTCTATTTATTTTATATGGACGATACTATCGAATCGTGGTTTCGGAATCCGGGCTCAGCAGTTGGAAAATTCTGAATTTATGATTACTAACACTCCTGTTGAAACTTATGAGGCACCAAGCAGCAGCAGCAAGTATAAACAAGATCAACAGTTAGAAAGCGAAAAAGAAACAGGACAGAAAACACTCAGCGACTGGCTAGAGCGAAACCTGAATAATCTTTTTTTTTTATATATAGGTATTTGCAATTTAATGAAAACAAACAGAACCCTATTAAAAAGTCGAGGCAGACCTAGAGGCAAGAATTTAACGGCAGGCCTTTTGCCGTTAAATTCTTGCCGTTATTAAGCCACGCCTCTTCTTGATTTTGTTTTTTTCCAGCGATCCCGCGTTCGGGACTTTAAATTCACTTCTCGTTTAAATTTTGCTTTACAAGTGCTACATTCAGTAAGTTCAGGACATTATAAAGAATCTAGCAAAAAAGTTTTTTCCGGGCTATAATGCCGTGGTCCATTAGTATTTCTACCTAACGTTTCGTCTACTGCTGCGGTAGACATCTTCAGAGGCGGTGTGGTAGAGGACGAAGTGTTCTCTTCCGTGTTTCTCCGATGACTGAATTCGACGTTGAGGGAACTGCGTTATTTATATCCAGGGTTGTGGGCGTGGCTTGGGTTACGGTATTTTCCTTGTCTCGTTCTCGGAAAGGAAGGGTCTTTGTTTTTCGGAGAGCTGGCAACCAGCTTTTATTGAGGTTCATGCCCTCTTCTTTTCTGTTGAAGTTGTTGTGGTGTTTCTGTATCTCTATGGCTTCTCTGTGGAGCCTGGTGTAGAAATGTTTGGTTCTATCCAATGTTTGAGTCTGGTCGGAACGAATGACATGGTTTGTTTGTGTAAGCACGTGTTCGGCGATTGCTGATCTATCTATTTGTCCTTGCTGACAGTTTCTTTTGTGCTCTTTGACCCTGGTGTTGATAGAGCGTTTGGTTGTTCCTACATAGACAGATCCACAAGAGCAGGGAATTCTATAGACGCCAGCCGATTCAAGAGGTGGCCTAGGATCCTTGGCCGATCTTAGACTTTGCTGAATTGTTCTTGTGGGCTTGTGGATAGGCTTAACGTTGTGTCTTTCTAGCGTTCGTCCTATGCGATCTGTGACATTTTTGATATAGGGAAGAAAGGCTCTCCCTGCCACCTGTGCTGGTTCCTTGTTAGTTGTGCGTTGCTGCTTCAGTCTTATGGCTTTTTTGCT